CGCATGAATAAAGATAAGAAGACACCTGAATCAACTCAGAATGCTCCTTCAGAACCAGAAGTGCCGGCAATAATAATAATAATAATTCGAATTATGAAAATCGAGGCGGCCGTGGTGGCTCGTCGCAGAGAGGAAATTATTATTCGAACCGGGAGGCCGCGGAAATTGGCAACAATCGTGGTGGATATTCACGTTCGTACACGGAAACAGTGATTCCGCAGCCGCAGGGCCGGTGGCTCCAATCCAACCCGTCCTGAATGTTCCCCAGCCGCAATTTGTTCCAGTTCCGGTGTATTCACAGCCACCATTTGTTGAACAGCACCCGGTACAATTTGCGCAGACTTTCCCTCAACCAATTCCCATGCAGGCTCCTATGCCTGTCCCAGTTCAAATGATGAATCCAATCATGCCGGTTATGCAGCCGCAATTCCAACAACCGGTGCAGAATTTCGATCAGCAGTACCAACAGAATGGCCCTGCGAATAACAACAATTATGATGGCGGTAATAATCGTGGAAATTACCGAAATAATAATAATAATTATCGCGGACGAGTGGCTATAACAACAATAATAATCGTCAACAAAATAACCAGAATTACCGGCAAAATCAGCAGGCCGGTAGTCAGCCTCCGTTTGATGAACGAAATATCCTGAAGGATAAATGGCGAACAAATCGCGGAGTCGAGATTTGTTTCCGCTGTCATGGTCTTCATCCGCTGCAGGTTGTACGAATCAGTTTGTACTTCCCCGTCAGTATGAGCCATCTGCAGAATTGTGGCACGTTACAATAACCCGCAGCAGCAGAATTAATATGATGGAGTTGGACTTACCGGCCGGTTTGTCCACGCCGCCGCCACAGTGCAATAAAATGGAAGTCAGGACTTTTCGCAATATCCGTTGGCAGATCACGTTTGTTTGTTACCGACGCTTGATGCCCAGGCTTGGTATTCTGTAATTGACATAAATTACCAGAAAGTGAAGACTATGCTGGATACGGGCTCTAGTATTTCTGTTATGTCATTGAAGATGGCGAAAGATTTAAAATTAAATATTCACCGCTGTCCGGATCACATTAAAGGCAGGGTTGTACATACAGCTTATCAAGGGAAGACAGTTGATTGAGCCGTTGTCGTAGTGGTCACGATTCACGAATTTGGGATGGCTTTTGAGCACGTGCTTGTGAGTTCCACTTTCGATAGAGACCACGTTGTTTTAGGTTTAGACTTTTTTAGCTACAAAGCCTTTATTTTAGATATGAATATACGATGACAGCGCCTGTCTCGCGTAGACAGCCTAATGCCGGCATTTTACGTCGTGAAACTCACCTGATGTCTGATGTTATTCGGTCACACGATTTTGATCCATTAATTCCTGTGGGAGTTAAGCCGTCGCCCGCAATCCCAGCGTTGATGTAGCAGGCGCATCGGTGTCGCTAAGGAAGCAAAATTCGTACCGTATGGAGTCAGCTCATTTAATTCTGGCAAAGCTGACCCAGAAATTTGTATTTGCACTTACAAAAAGCGAAGCAGGAGTGGCCGCGTCCAGCCGCGCGCCACCAGTGACAAAAGCGGTTGATGTCCCGGTGAAAACGGAAGTTAAAACTACACCAGTCTACGTAGCTCCGATTAAAAAGGGATCTGACCAGCGTGATGAGGAGTTTGTGCGTAGTGTAGTACAGGAGATGATTCGCCAATATCTCCCTAAAGCAGCTTCTGTCGCTGATGAACCAGTTCGTTCTGCTATTAAGCAAGAGATTAAGGTGGAGAAAAACCCAGAACAAAGTCAAGTTCGTGGGGGAGGCGGTGAAACAATTGTAAATAGTATGCAGTCAAGTTCGCGGGGGAGAGAACAGGCGTCTTCCCAGCCGCCAATTAAAAAGGAAAAAGTTTCGCAGCCGTCTTCGGCAAGCAGCTCGAGCAGTTCAAGTAACTCGTCTTCGGCATCAGTCAGCCCTGTGCCTCCTTCCGGATCCAGTCAAGTTCGTGGGGTGAAGATCCTTGCAACTTCCGATTCAAATTTCGTCGATTGGCGCAGTATTAAGCAGCATCCTGCAGCTCAAAATACCTATACATGGGTGTTCTGGAAATCAGCGAAATCGGTTGAATGTCTTAGCATGGACAATAAATTGCTTAAATGTTATACCTGTTGAGCGCGACCGCAGAGACGTTGATGAAGTCCATGATTATCCCTCTTACATGGCACGCAATCCAGAGTTGAAGAAATGGATGACGCCGATGGATAGGCCGCAGGATAAACAGCTTATTCCCTTCAGAAAAAGATTCCGTGATCCGCAGTTCTGGCGCGAAACTCAACAGCAGTGTGTTGATAGCCGGATGTGGTACAAAATGTACAAGAAACCGTCGCACGCTAATACGAATTTTACCAAATACGAAATTAACAGACTCGTAATATGCGAAGGGATATTGTGCAGAGTACCGGATCATTCTGGTGCATGTCCGAGAATTTACGTGCCGCACCAATGGCGACAGAAATTAATCGCCTGCTTCCACGAAATCTTAATTCATAAGCACGCGTACGGCCGGCATGAAAAGCTATATCCGTACTTGGTGAAATTATTTTACTGGCCGGACTGTATAATAGAAATTGAACGGTACGAGAAGAACTGCGACGTGTGTCGAAACTCGATTAATGATCGCCGGCATTTTGAAACCTTGAAACGCACGGAGCAATTAAACGCACAGAAAGCTACAGGAAAACGTAAAGTTACCTTTTCTGTGGATAACCCGGCACCAGCAGGTGAATTTGAAAACGGTAGCTTCTGTCCCTGCAGATGGATGAAACCCATTAATATCGGCCCGTGTCCGGTCTCCTACGAAGATAAACAGGCGGAGAAGCAAAGAGAAATAAATTCTCAAATGATTAGTAACTCACCGCCGCCGAAGCTAGTCTGAGTTCGTTTCGGAGGATGTCAGAGCGACCTACGATGTTGCGACAAAAATGAATATTAACGAACAGTGGGAAATCTGGAATGACATTCAGAGACAAAAAGCATTGAGCGAATCTGCAGCTGCTAATTCAGCACGACCCGCCGTGGGAAATTACGAGCCATCACCGGAAGGTTCGGGAAGGAATTCCCCTAGGCGTAAAAAGTCCAGTTACAGCCGTAGAATTCGGCGGGAATACGCCGAGCGTGAGGCCGCAAGCCAGATGTCCGCCGAGACAGTGCAGCCGGCACCGGTGCCACAACAACCGACGGCTAAGAATTTGCCCAAACGGTCTCAGGACGTCCGGGAATCTACTGATATCCCGGCATGCGTGTATTCGAAGGATGTCATTGAGCTGGCGTACAGGGACGCCCATCTGAAACAGGCACAAGCACAGGTTGAAGTTAACTCGGTAGAACATGATATTTACCGCTTCGAGCCAGAACCCGGTCCGATTGATTGCTTCAAAATGGAGCTGTTTCCAGCTTCGCCGGTCATAATTCAACCCCATTCGCAGGGAATTATTCGCGCAACGACGTCGATGTCTGACGAACAGTTCATGGAATTTCAAGACGAATACCTGTACACCCAGCCGTTTCTCTACGAAGGAAAAATACCAGAGTCAAATAAAAACGCCGTATTACTCGATGGCGTCTTAACGTTAAATGAGTATGGTAATTGCCGAGTCTGCGTCGTTAACGTTTCCGACAAACCGCTCGTTTTGAATGAAGAAACCAACCTTGGCGAAGTCGCGCTCGTGGACGCAGTTTATCAAATGGACTCTCCGGAGTTCCTGGAGAACTGTCAAGAGGCAATTAGTGGCATTCCCAGTGTAGAAGAAAGTGTCTCAACACCGGAGAAAATAAATGAATGTGTGGCGATGCAGTTGCCGCCACCCGCCGTTAGTGTCGTTGATCCTGAAACCGAAGAAACGTTCGCTAAAATCAAAGTTGGTGATATCTGTCCCAGCAAGGATGAATTAAAAGCAATCTTTTATCAAGCGAAATCAGTTTTACCGACTAAGGCGCGTCCTGTGGGTTGTTGTACCATATATGAGCACTCTGTGGATACAGGCACGAGTTTGCCGGTCAGAACTCCTCCGTATCGCACATCGTTTGAAGACCGCAAATGGCTCCAAGCTAAAACACAGGAAATGATTAAAGACGGTATAATTGAGCCAACAAACTCGGCATGGGGCAGTCCCATATGCATAGTGAAGAAGAAGGATAAATCCCGGCGTTTAACCGTGGATTTCCGTAAGCTTAACGAAAGATTAATGGGCAGCAGTTACCCGCTTCCCAGAGTTGACGACATATTAAATGCCCTCGACAAAGCAACGGTCTTTAGCAAGATCGATTTAAAAAGTGGATTTTGGCAAATTAAAATAAAACCGGAAGACCGGTGTAAAACAACAATGGTTGGCGAAGAGTTCACGTTTCAATACAAAGTCTTACCTTTTGGGATGAAGGACGCGCCTTCGGCTTTCCAGCGCGCCATGGATTTGACGCTTGCAAATATGAAGTGGAGGAACGTGTTAGTTTTTATCGATGACATTATTGTCTTCAGTAAAAATCTGGCTGATCATATGCGAGACTTACAGGAGCTCTTCTTGCGGCTCCAGGAATGCGGCTGGACCATTAATCCTGAAAAGACAGAATTATTTGTAAATTCAATAACGTTCCTGGGTCACACGGTTGACCAGTTCGGTATCAGTACTGATCCAGAGAAGATCCAGGCGGTTAAGGAATTCGGTCCTATTAAAGACAAAAAAAGATATACTGCGTTTTCTAGGCATGGTAGGATATTACCGCCAATTTATTAAGAATTTTCAAGAGATCGCTGAGCCGCTTCAAAAGTTGATTCCTAAAAAAGTTACCTTTGAATGGGGAACGGATCAGTGTAGCTCTGTGGAACAATTGAAGGAGGCCTTGGTGACGGCGCCGGTCTTAGCCCGTTACGACCCGGAGGCTTTGTCGCGTGTTATCGTCGATGCAAGTACTATTGCTGTGGGTGCAGTTCTTATGCAATGTCCCAAGGATAAACCAACTGATGTGCCGACGAACTGGCGTCCTATCGCGTATCTAAGCCGCAAGTTGACTGAAACACAGAAAAGACTGTATTTCCCTACTGAGCTTGAAGCTTACGCGGTTATCTGTGCTTTAAAGAAGTGGAAGCATTATTTGTCTGACTATCAGTTCGAAGTACAAACCGATCACCAAGCGTTAGTGTTTTTAAATAATATGCGCGATGCCGCTGGCCGCCTTGGGCGCTGGGCGTTGTATATCCAGCAATTCAATACTAAGCCTGTTCACATACCTGGCAAAGAGAACGTTATTGCTGACGCCTTGAGTAGAAACCCAGGAGAGCAACCGGAACCCGACTCTGACGATTCGGATATCGAATTTGACTATAGGCAAACTTACCCTTTCGCCGGTGATGCCGCGATGATCGAGTGTTGTTTCGCTATCCTGGAGAGAGATTATGTGGATATCCGCTTTGAGATGATGTCGGCCGAAGTTAAAGCTATTCCAGAGGAAGACATGAAAGCCTTTGATGAGGATAAGGTGCAGAAGTTGATTACTGACGATAAGGCTTCTTACTGGGCTGAAGAGCAGTCTCGAGACGCGAGGATTGTCAGATGGCGGCTGCTCCTAGAAAATAAAAAGGAAAAGATGTCAGAGCACGAGAAATTACACCTAAATAAATTTGTAGTGAAACAGGGCGTTGTATACTACAAGTTTGAATTAAACCGGAAGATCTATTACTGTATGTATGTACCTGTTCACTGGCGGCTTCAGTTCCTTCAGGATAACCATGATTCCCCGTTAGCAGCACACTTGGGCGTCCTGGCCACCTATAAAAGGATGTACAAGTATTTTTATTGGCCCCGTATGTTCGAGTCTGTTAAAAGTTACTGTGCCTCTTGCCCGGCGTGCCTTGCACAAAATCCTCTTGCTACGGCACCGGCCGGTGCTCTCCAGTCCAATCCCACCGTTCCTCCTCGGTTAGTTTGGGCAATTGACGTTGCTCCGGCTCTCCCAACGACGGAATCTGGAAATAAAAACATAATTATTGCAGTGGATTACGGGAGCAAATACATTGTGGCTGAGGCAGTTGAGAGAAATGATGCCGCCACATTGGCGTTGTTCTTTTATCGCCGCATTCTCACAGTCTTTGGCATGCCTGTACACATCACCTCAGACCGCGGCAGTAATTTCATGTCTGAGATGTTTCGGGAGCTTCTTGCTCTCGCAGGTGTTGCTCACGCACCGACGGCATCAGGCCACCAGCAGGGTAATGGTCTTGTTGAAAAACGCGTAGGGGAAATCAAAAAGGCGCTAGCCAAGTATGTGAATGAGCAGCAAAGTGACTGGGATATATTCCTCCCAGCACTTTGTGCTGCCTTTAACAGTAAGGTTGTGGAGCGAACGGGCCGCTCACCATTCTTCATGATGCACGGCACCGAGATGCGCTTACCGATAAATAACTTCCTGCCATTCGAAGAGGATTTTGTGATTCCTGCCCATGTATATGTACAGCAGATGCAGCGCGGCCTTGGTGAGGCCCTGGATTTAGTGAATGCTGAAGAGTTTCGTCATAAGCTTAAAGATAAAATTAGATATGATGCAAATATTTCACATGTGTCGTATAAACCAGGGGATCAGGTTTTGGTATACGTGTTACATCGCAAAGTGGGGAAGAATCCATCCCTTATGCCCCGTTGGACTGCTGGATGGGAAATCGTGCGTCAGTCAGGGCCAGTGCATTATGTAGTAAAGAGTAATCGGCGTGGAAATGTCAAAACTGACACTGTACATGTCAGCCGTTTAAAGCCGTATAATTTCCGTGACGTCGATACTATTCTGCAAGACGAGCACTTACCGAAGTTGCTCGATTGTGTGGAGAAGGAATGCCCCGATGAGTTAGTTGAGGCGCCCGCGCCGCCGCCGGTGATTCCATCCGTTGACTCAGCATCGTCGCGCCTTGATGCTGAGTACGCTGAATATCTGGATAACCAGATGGAAGCGGTTCCATTGCTTAAAACCCGCTCCGGGCGTGTGGTGAAACCTGTGGAAAGACTTGTGAACCAGATGAACGACAAAAAGCGTAAAAGAGACCCGTCGGCTGATGCTAAAAAGCGTAGGGTCACAAATAATAGAGAACCGGCTATTCTGAATGTATCCCAGCCGGGAGAGAGATTATCTGAACCAGTTGCGCCGGTGGCCAGTGATACTCTATCAATTACCTGTAACGCAATGGAGATTGGGCCGGCACAGCCACAAAAAACCTCTCGTGCAGTTGTAGAAGACAGAACTCTCCCAGTCCCCGCTTGGGCACGCCCAATTGAGCAGTTTTGGCCACAAGGTGTAATATCCGATGACGCCCTTGATAAGCAGGAATTCTGGAGGTATCGCCAGATGGAGTGTAGTGACATGATGTTGTGGGACGCCGTTGTTGATGGAGACTGCACTCTTGAGGAATCCGCATACTCGGCCTGGCATCTTCCTTTGGTTCTAAAAGTAAACGGCATTATTTGCCATTACGGAGAAAAACAGGACATTGCAAAAAGAGTACCCAAAATTCTCATTCCTTATCAATGGCGTAAAATTTTAGTGGAGTCTGTACATCGGCGGTTGTTGCATAAGTATAACAGTAATATTACGCCGTATGATTACTTGTATAGAAGTCTTCGTCTCTTCTGGCCGGAAATGAGACGTGACTGTATTAATTTCATAAAAATCTGTACCTTATGCAATAACGATTAAACAGGCCGAGCGGCCGTGTAAATTTGTACATTTACTTTATTTTATTTTATTTTTGAACTCTAAGAATTGAAATTTTATTCCTTAATGCATTAAAGCTGTCTGGAAAGTTCCCAAATCATTTGTACGTACAGATCTAGTGCGTGTAGTCGCCATTGGATAGTCCGCGGTGACGTAGCAGCGTTCGTTGCCCTCTCCTGGATATCAGTCGTGTAGGAAGCTGCTTGTAGCTGATTGCACATGAGATTTTTACCTGCAAGATCAGTGTCATTCAGTTGTCGTTCTCAGTCTTGTGCGAGGCTTCTTATTCTTTACTTTGTTTTTGCCTCTACCAAATTCTGACATACCGCTGCAATGCATCGTCCGAAAGTGCCGTCACATCCCTCTTTTCAACATGAGGATACCACCAGTTCCTCCGAGGATTCAGTGCAGGTTTTGGCAGATGTCTTGGCCGATGTTCAGCCGCCAATGTATCCCGATCCTCATGTTGGATGGCCTGAACCAACGTTTGAGTGGTCCCATCTCATGGTGGATTGTGGCCTTCGTCCGTCTCCGTACGACTATGCTCGTGGAGGAAAGAGTTATATTCCCCCGTCTGGTTTGATCATCAATCGTCCCTACAATCCGGACAGAGATTATGTGGAGTTGCATCCGGAGACTCGATTGCGCTTCCGCGGCAAGATCTTTCATAATGGTTCGCAGATGACGGTGGACAAATATAACCGTTTTGTCCACACTCTGGATCTGTCAAAGGACGCACACTATGCATTGTTACGTTACCTGCGAGTGGACTTCCGCCAAGGATGGCTCATCGGGCAAATCGTCTGCGAACTTCGTCGGAACCACGGCATTAATGTGGTGCGCAATCCTGTCGAGTTTCTCACTGCCTTGGATTATGTTCCGGGGGAAACGGGAGATCATGGTGCCGTTGTCACGCTCGTGGACGCGTATAACCAGCATATCGAGGAACTGGTTTCCAATATTGACGAGGATCACCGCTTGGAAGCGGAGCAGCGCTACTTCGAGCGTTTGAATGCAGCGGATCCGCGCTCGGCAGCTCAACAACAGCAGCACTTGCAACAAACTCGTTGGCTTTTGCATGAAGGACAGGAGAAGCGCGGTCCTGGTAAACTGGATGCTTCGATTGCCAAGCGCCATCGTCCACGCCGCGATGATGACGATGATATGGGCGCTGCGGTGTAATGAGGATTTCCCCTGCAATCACAGCCCTGTTGTAGTGCTCTCTTACTTAGCCTCTGTATTTTTCGTTTTACGGAAGAACATTACCTTCAGTGTTGGGCATGTTATTCTAAGTTTATAGAATCCTGTAACAGAATCTGTTTTCCGTTTACAATTAGCTTTTTAACGTTATTTTTACAGCCTGTGCAACGTGCAGTTATTCTATGAAGTGGCTTACCATTCATTCTCTGGAGCGCAGATTTGGCTGTTCAGCAGTAAATCAGTTAAATTAGACTGTTTCGGTTATTCAAATCAGAATTTGGCAGATAATCCGTCGAAAAACGATTTAACATACAAAATGACAGTTTAAAATGCAAATCTTCACGTTCGAACATGTAAACAATTTTGTCGCTGTAGCAACCGCCCGTGTGTCGTTAAATGTTAGGGCAGTGGCAGTCACGTAGTGCACAGCTGCTTCCAGTCTGCACAGCTGCGGTGTGTCAGCAGTTTTCCTGTTTAGTCTTGCTTTTTTACATTTTTAGCTGCAGCTTTAAATTTTCAGACCTTTGCCGTCATTTCTCTGTTTTAAATCTCTGCTCTTTCATACAATGGAGATGGAATTTTACAAATCAGAGCGCGGGCGTTTGATTTGCGCGGAACAGGATGATAAGAAACGCCGTAAGTTTGTCAAGTTCTCTGAATCTGTTGCGTATGTTTCTGCGAACCAGGAACACATTGCTGAGTTTGTGTACTTTTGGCGTTCCTTGGTTGGACCGTATATTTCTATTTCGGAGCTTTGCAAGCTTTCTAATTCCGAAATTATGGCCTTAACTTTTGTAGAACCCGAGCCATTGGATTTCGAGGCTCAGGTGGCTTTGGAGATTGAGAACATCCGCCAGTCGGAGTCGCAGATGTATTACTTGAAGATCGGGTTTATTCTGTATCCCGACACTCCAGTCCGACGTGAAGCATCTGAACGCCTGCGGAAGGAATTTGGCTTGCCATCCCTATTTAACCCGCCGGAAACTTTGCGTGAGCGTCATCAGCGCATGCTAGAACACAACAAGCGAGTGATGGAAGAAGAGCTTTGTTGTGTCGACTGCGAGAATAATGGCCCAGGCTCATGTGGTCGTATTCTGTACACCTTGGATGATGATGAGCCTGTTCCAAATATCTGGGGATCTGGCAATCTCGAGGACTGGAAGGAGCCAGACTTAGACGTGGATGACTGGTGGGCGGAGAACAAGCTGGATTTTAAGGATCCGACGGAATTCTTGCCTGCGGATATGCTGTGGGTGGATGAAGATTTCGGCCCTGACCCTACGCCCAAGAAGAAGCGTAAGCACGTCGTAGTGCAGCGCCATGTTCTCCGTGGCATTCCCCACAGCTACTGGAAGTGAGGACTTTTGCCAATCGGCCGTTCGTGAGTTTAAATTGCGGTTTGAGATTTAATTTAACTTTGTATGGGCCCTTTTGTTAAATCTCTGCTGTTCTGTGCCTTTTTGCGCGTCTTTAATCATGTCTCAGCGTGGCTCGCTCAATCGTGTATAATTTCATAGCTGCTGCGTTTTGAGCGTTTAAACTGAACGCTGCCTTGCTCTTCCTCCAGTTGTGATCGAGCCTATTGTTCTGGCTCTGTTTTGTGAATTTTGTATCGATAGCATAATGCTGTGGATGTTGCGGTAATTTTGTGGAAGTTTAAAGCATTGAAACAGGTTTTAAAACGTTCGGAAAATCCTGCATTTTATGAATTAAAAGTTGTAAATTGCTGAGTGTATATTATCTTAATATACACACTCTAGTGAAGTGGCTGACAACGTCTAGAAGTGTGGCTGCAATACACACGCTCTGCCGTAGGCCGTGTGTTAATGGACTTCGCTGGTTACGAAGTATGCGGTCGCCAACACG